GTTGGAACCTGCTCCAAGACACTTAATACTTAATAACAATAACAGTCTCTTCATCAGATGCCAGTTCTCACTATTGATTGGAAACAGGGTTACCCTATTGTACCAGTATATATATTTATCTTTATCTTTATCTTTATCTTTATCTTTATCTTTATCTTTATATTTATATTTATATATATATGGAGTTCTGGTGTGGCGCTGTGCATTAATGTGCCAGACTGCAAAGCCATTTGAACTACAGGTCGGTGGTTTAAGCTCACCAGCTGCTCCTCAAAAACCCTATACAGGGTCGCTATGGGTCGGAACCGACTCAACGGCACTTAACAACAACAAAAACATGTATATAGTCACTAAAAATTAATTAACAATTTAAGACCCTTTAAATAATTGTTAAGAATAACCTAATATAGAGTGGTTAAGAGACTGCAAGCCTCCTGAATTAGTTGTTTTAAAAGTAAATGTAGCAAAAGTTTATTTTTATGAAAATTTTAAAGAAATAATTGGTTTCAGGGACTGAGGTTATTCTGGGCTTCAAATCTACTCAACACTTACATGATGACGTTTTAGTAGCCCAAATTCAGCTAATTAGACTTTGTATGGTGCTAAGGAACTTTGGGTTTCCCCATGTAGTGATTGCCTCAAAGAGTCAATGTTTCACCAAATCTGTGATTTGTATATGTCTAGCTGCTTCCCTTCTAATCACATATTAGTGGCTTAGGATCAGTTTGGCTTCTCTGAGAAAGATCTAGCCGGCCAGAAGATCAGTGAAAAATCCCACTGGAGAAAAGCAAAGTATTCCTGGTGAAGTCACATTCTTGTGTTGGGCTCAAAACAATAAACATCTCCTTAGTCTTTTTTTTCCTGAAAGTGTGTGGACTAGACCCACTGTCTCCTCATCCTGAAGGCCCCGGCAGAGTCAGCCACTTCAGGCCTTCACTCTCAAAAAGTGTCCAAGTAAGTTAGCCCACATCTCTGCAAAGTGAAGTAAAAGGAGAATGTGTATATATTGAACACCTTTCCAGATGAAAAAAAAATTCTATCTATTCCTATGTTGCTGTTGTTAAGTGTCATCGAGTTGGTTACAACTCGCAGTGACCTTGTATAGGGTTTCCGAGGCTATAAACCTTTGCAGGAGCAGAAAGTTTCATCTTTCTTCCTCATATCTACTCTTATGGGCAATATAAAATTTTCAGGAATATTGAGGAAGATGATTCAATCAATCTGTTTCTTTGTCTGCTGATTCAATTTCAATTTCTTTTCTTAAAAAATATTTCTTTCCTTAGGTCACCCATTTAGTCAACAATATTCATTCAATAAATGTATCCGTTTCTATTTTAAGTTCAGGGACTGTAAGAATGAAAAAACCACGATGATTTCCTTTTGGAAGTTCAGTGTAATGAAAGTACCAGATATCCAGACAGTTACAAAGCAGTATGATATGGGAAGAAAGGAGTCCTAGCCTTGCAGAGGTTAAAATGTTTGACCGGTAACTGAAAGGTCAACAGTTTGAACCCACCAGCAGCTCCACAGGAGAAAGATGTGACAGTCTGCTTCCCCAAAGAGTCCACGCTTGGGAGCCCTCTGGGGCAGTTCAATCATGTCCTGCAGGTCACTATGAGTTGGAAATGGCTCAATGCAATGGATGTTTGGGTTTTACTATGGAAGATGTTACAAAGTATTCTAACAACTTAGGAAGGGACATCGTGAAGAATGATGGATGGCTGATCAGTGGCTTGAAAGCCCACTTGTTTTTATATTGGATATCACCGACACATTTGGGGGATAGAAACAAAGTCCTGTTTGTTTGCTATATACTGGGGTGATCATGAAAAAAATAATAAACAAGCAAGTTCACTGTCATGGAGTGGATTCCAACTCAGAGTGAACCTTTATAGGGATTCTGAGGCTGAAAATCTTTACAAAGCAGACAGCCTCATTGTTTTCCCATGAAGCAGCTGGTGGGTTTGAACTGCTGACCTTGTGGTTAGCAGTACAGTGCTTATCCTACAGCACCATCAGGGTTTCTTAGAGTGATCATGGATATATTATAATATTAAAGAATGAAATCTTTGGGCAATGGATATATTACAGCCATGAGATTTAAGCAGAGTAAGATATTTTCTAATAATCTGATCCTAGTGTTGTTAAGGAGCTCTGGTAGCGTAGTGGTTACGAATCGGGCTGCGAACCTTAAGGTCAGTGGTTCGAAACTACCAGCTGCACCGCGGGAGAAAGATGAGGCTTTCTACTCCCGTAAAGATTTACACCCTCGGAAACCCTATACAGGGTCGCTATGGGTCGGAACCGACTCGATGGCACATAACAACAACAACAACAACAGTGTTGTTGTTGGCAGGTGTTGTCAAATTGATTCCAACTTATAGGGACCCTATGAACAATAGGGAGTCCTGGTGTGGCGCTGTGGGTTAATGTGGCAGACTGCAAAGTCGTTTGAACTGTAAGGTTGATGGTCCAAGCTTACCAGTCGCTCCTTGGAAAGCCTATACAGGGTCACTATGGGTCGGAACCAACTTACCAGCATTTAGCAACAACAACAACAATGCACAATAGAACAAAACACTGCCCCGTCCTGCGCCATGCTCACAATTGTTGCTATACTTGAGCCCATTGCTGCTGCCACTGTGTCAATCCATTTCATTGGGCGTCTTCTTCTTTTTCATTGACCCTCCACTTTACCAAGCATGATGTCCTTCTCCAGGACATTGAAATTTATAGAAAGTAAGCAGCTTACTTAAAATTCCATTGAAAATTATAGAAAGTAAGCGGCTCTTTTCTAATACAAATATTTAATAAATGTAATGGTGACATTATTACATGGGCTCTGTTTATCATGCACTAGCAGGTGCTTTACTGGCAGAAAATAAGGTGGGAGGGGGAATAATGCTGGCTGTACACTAAGCTCTGACTCCACAGTTATTGTTGTTGAGTGCCATCGAGTCGATTTCGACTCATAGCGTCTCTGGATAAGAGTTCCAAGAAGTGGCTGGTGAGCTTGAACTGTCAACCTTATAATTCAAGCTGACCTTGCTGTTCAGCGCGTTAACCCACAGCACCACACTAGGATTCCTGGCTCCACAGTATGATGC